AAACACCGCCCTCCAGAAAGTAAGCAAGATTTCTTGAATATCTGAACATATCGAGCGAAGGACGAAAAAAAAAAACTCCGTAGTACGAAGATCTTTGAAACATCGATTTACGCGGTATTTTCAGATTTCGGAATAAGTACCCCCACCCCGGAAAAAGTGCACCTTTGTGCAGGGGAAAATATTGTGAATATTTGCCCGAACGGACCATAGCAATTAGTGGAGAACGCAATTATCGATTGGAAGGCAGATGAGTTTGGATGGCCCACTAAGGTTAAGTCGAGNTTGTAATACGATGTCGGCTGCTTTGGCGTGCGAGGTGAACCTCGACTTGTGTCATTTCGATATTGAGCAAGCTTTTGTGCGTTCGGAGTTGGAGGAAGACGTGTACATGCGTTTGCCGCAGGCATGTGGAGCTCTATCTGGAATGATTGTAAAACTAGGCAAGAGTCTGTATGGCTTGAGACAGGCATCTAGGCAGTGGCATGCAATGCTGAAGAGGTGTTTGGTAGAGTTAGGTTCTGAGCAGTACATGGCCGATGCTTGTGTGTTTCGCTTGATTGAAAATGGATGTGTTGTTTTGATTTTGGTAGTACATGTAGATGACATTTTTACTGTGAGAGAGAGGGAGAGATATGACAAGTTTGGTACCGACCTTAGCAAGTCCGTGCCAGTGAAGAACCTGGGAGAGTTGAGATGGTATTCTGGGTGCTTTTACGAGAGGAACAAGGAGACCGGTAGGTTGACGATTTCTCAGCAGACTTCACGGATGAGCTAGCAGCAGAATATGAAGTAGTGGGAGGTAAGAGCGTTCCGATGTCTTCGGGGGTGAAGCTTTCTGATTTTGATGCGGATGAGGTGGCGACAGACTTTCCGTTTCGTGAGCTGGTAGGATCGTTGATGTGGCTGGCGACTCAGACTAGACCAGACGTTGCGAATGCGTAAGGGCAGTAGCTAGATATTGCGCATCTCCGAAGCTGGTACACTGGAATGCAGCGATGGACATTTTGGGCAATGCGAGGAGGATGGGTCACTTTGGTATTTCGTTTCAGATAGGTACGGTAGAGGGATTCAGCTTGCGGGGGTACGCTGATGCGGACTTTGCAAGCAAGGCAGCAGACCTCGGTATCANCATATTTGAGACTATGCGAGGAGGGCGAGTCACTTTGGTATTTCGTTCCAGAGAGGTACGGTGGAGGGATTAAGCATGCAGGGGAAAGCTGATGCGGACTTTGCAAGCAAGGCAGCAGACCGTAGGTCGGTATCAGGGGGGATCGTGACGTGTGGAGGAGGCGCCGTGTCTTGGTTTTCCAGAAGGCAGAAGTGTGTCACGCTTTCGACCACCACCGAAGCAGAGTACGTCGTCCTAGGTGACGTAGTGAAGAAGATTTTGTTTTTGAGGCAGATTTGGCGTTTCATGTTGCCGCAGGTCGGCATGCCGTGCATCCCCATCTTCGAGGACAACCAGGGGGCGATTCAACTAGCGCAGAACCCCATCTCAAACTCGAACTCGAAGCACACAGATGTAAGGCACCATTTTCTCAGGGAACTGGTAGAGCGGAAGGAAATGTCGGTCATCCACGTACCGTCGCCGTACCAGCGTGCAGACTTTCTTACGAAGAGTTTGTCGAAGGATGCTTTCGAGTCTCACCGTGATTTTGTGATGAATTTGGCATGAACATTTTATTGTTTTTCGGATGGGTTGTGTTTTGGTCTTGTTCTGTTTCCCGTTTTGTTTAATTTCCCGCGCCAAGTATTTGTGAAGCGCGATGCAGCATTTATATTTCATTGAATTGCTTTTCTCTGTTATATTATTCTGGTCAAGTCTTCATGGTATATTCTGGGAAAGACGTCTTTTGGTTGAGATGTCGGGTGTTCGCGAAGTTTTCAGTGAGAAGCTGTTGCGAGCAGGGGGAATGTTAGATATACTCGCAGCAGTATCTGGTCGTGAGGATCCCAGGGGGACACGTGTTGGGAATTTCGTGTGTTGAAGGGTACTACCGGCGCAGTCACGGGGACCCTTTGGGCGTGGTCGGTGCGATGATGAGGCTTGCGTGCGTGCTGCGCACTTCTTCCCTCTCTCTCCACCACCACCACCATCTCTCTCCAATCAAGATTCCTTCTCCCACTCTCTCTCTAACTCTCTCTCAACCTCTCTCTCTCTCGGCCTAACACGGCTGACTTCCCAGTGCCCCAAAGCAACGTCCAGAACGTGCTTGCTGCACCCCGCGTAGTTTACCTTTCAATGCCGAACACCCGTAGCAGGATGCAGCGCACCCTTCATGCGACTCGCCGAATACCTCACGGCGCTTCGCGCTTGGTGATGTGAGAGCCTAGTCCGGTGAGAACCCGACGTGCTCCGTCCCAGTCTTGTAGGGATGCGACGTCAATGGTCTAACGACTACGGTATGCACGACTATGAGTACACCCCCCCCTCCTCGCGACCAAGATTGACGCGTAGGTTAGGGTGGGGGGGGGAAATCCCGCGCGCGAGAAATGTCGAAACCCCAGCGATTTGGTCTAAATGTCCCCACCGGGGACATTCAAGGCCTCTCCCCCCCCCTCCCCCCCGCGACCACGATTGACACGTCGCCTAGGGGTGTTCCTAGCTTTCTACATAGAGGCCCCCCCCGAGTATGCAGATGTGCGCCCCTTCTCTTGCTGGACCGATGCATTATTTCCAATAAATTGATTTTGAGTTCCACTTCTGATGATCTTGGAATCATCTATTGAGCGGGGAGGCGAAAAGCCGCCATACCCGTTGAAGTGTCGAGGAAAACTGTTACAACGTAGTCAGGCACAGTTTACCATTGGTGCGACTGCGGCAACTAGCCTTCCGTAGATATTGTACAGAAAGAAGAGATGGTACTCAGCAGAGAACATGAGCACAGAGTTGTAGCGGAGATAATTTGGCAGGCGAGACTGTAGTTGTTTTATTGTTCGGAACCCCAAAATTACGGTACTCGGGCCATTACTCCGGAGACCGTCGGAACCTGCTGTGTTTTTGCTGCTTGTTTTTTGTTTTTGTTTTGTTGTTGAGATGAGACACAAGCGCGCCTTCGCCCCTTGTGCTCACTCTCATCTAGCACCCATCAAAGCCTGACCAGGGAGTCAGTTGATAAGAACATCTATCTGCATTTCTCTTTCCAAAGCTCGCTCGGGCCTACCGATCTCACAGCAGTGTAGACCAACCTCTGTGATAGAGCGGTGACAGCAGTGTAACCTCTGTGGTAGACTACAAAGTCTACGAGCTACAGCAGCACCGCCACCTCCGCTGCTGCAAGACGCCACATTCTGTGATGAAGTAGTACGTGTGTGTGCCTGTGTGCACGACAAATGAGCGACGGCGACCGCAACGAGCGCTATACTTGGTAGCCACTGCACACCGTCTTGTACCCGTAAGGTTGCGAGACATCGCACAGGAGGGGTGCGATGGCTCCGGACCCTGGGCGGACATCGAATAAAATCATTTGACTTTGTTTGATACAAAACGCACACCCCTGTGCAATACCTCCGCTCGGTGTGTAGTGCGGTCCTGAGTACAGTAGAGGTCCCTGTTTAGTGCCCGATGAAAAGTCCCGGTTGCCCGTATAGTGCAGGCCAAATCTCGGCGCACATACAGAGCCCTGACTAGTGCCAGACCGGCACTATTGAGGGATACCCACTATAGTGCCGGTTCGGGCACTTGTGTACCCCACGATAGTGCCGGTTCCCGCACCCACACATCCCCAATTGGCCTTGAGAAGCTTTTCTGTTTTCAGCCGACCGGGACTGACGTACTTCCATTGTTCAGTCGGTTAGCATGCAAATAAATTATACACACAAGTTGAGGGAGGGTTCGGCAACAATAGTTGAAATAATTGGCTATGAGAGTAGCGTGGTAGGAAAAAAGCGGACGGTGAAGGTACTCGGTGAGGAACGCGCGTACAAAGCGGCAGCCTTCGTAGACACGTACAGAGGGTAGCTTACCCCCCCCGTGACGTCTCCTCGCGGGCCCCCAGATCATGACGTCTAGGAGAATATCATTGGGTTGTCAACCGCGCTCTGCCTCTGACGTATTTTCATTAGTCAGCCGGTTAGAGCGGTCAGTCATGTACAACCCCTTCTTGTACAGCCGACATTCCGCGACTACATGTCCATGGTCTTCGGAGTCGGAGCCGCGATCACATTTGAAGTTGGTGTCTTCATCGTCTACCTTCCTCTATCTTCGTCTACGTTCTCGAAGGTCAATGTCCACGGTCCTGAACTTGACCTTCAGCTCTGTCCCTGCATCCATTGGTCCATGTAGGTACTGCTTGAACCCTATTCCTTCTTTCAACATTCCGTACACTTCTATGGCCTCCTTGTACTTGGCTTCTTTTCTTAGATTCTGTTCTTCTCTCTCGGCACAAGCAACAGGTAGCTTCTCCTTGAACCCTTTAAGCCCCTCCATATCTAGCGTGTCGCCTTCGTCAATTCGAACCCATCCATACGTCACCTACAACCTTGACCCACTCCGTGGGTGGTCTACCCCTCTTCTTGTCTGCTCACTCCGCCTCCCAAGCTATTCTCGGCAACCTCTCCTTTCCCATACAGTGGTGGCTACGGTTTGAGAGAGTTTATTCAAGAGAAAGTACAGGTTAAAGAGTCAAACTGGCTTGTCACGCCGCTGACCGATTGACGAGAGAAGTTGCCCTATTCCTCTCGTTTTCTCTTCAACCATACCCAAAATACTTCGAGCCACAGACACACAGACTACACACGACCTCCGCTGCAGACACCGTGCCCTGCCCAGCGAGGGGAACAAAGCAGACTTGCATGAGGGATTTCATGTAACGATGTCCAGAGGAACGAGAGAGAGCTGATGCCGACGTAGGAATGGGGAGGTTTTCTACGGTGGTACATCAATGTCATACTATTTCGTTTTGATATTCTCGCTGGTATTTTACTCCAGCTACTCCGAGTAATTGTGAAATTCGGCACGTCTCGTGAGCACGAACAAGGCGCTGATGCACGGAGCAGCAACGTTCTCAACATATCATTGTTGCCCTCCATACCCTCTCGCCCGGCGGTTTCAGCAACAGCATGGCTCGTTTACTGCCTTAACTGAGTTGGCTACGGTTTAAGATATTTCTCTTGCACTGTGGCCAACACTGTATGAGAAAAAAACGGATGTAAGAGAGATATTGGCTTGTCACGACACTCTCTTTACCGTAGCCCCCACTATACCGCACATGCGATACTGCCATGTGAGCTTCCTTGCGTCTCCTCCGGACCTTAGGGATCAGATCCCCAGTTAGTTCTGCCCTACCGGCTGCACTACTTGTGCGGCTGGAGAATCCTAGGATGACTTTCGTTGCTTTTATCTGCGCCGCCTCGAGCTCGTTGACTACCTTCATATTTCCTTCCCATACTTTTCCGGCCTACTCCAGCGGCGGTACGGTTGCGCTATTCAAAACCGTCAATTTGATGCGTGTATCGCGATGCCGGTTTGCGAGTATTGGGTGTAGCTTCCCTGCTCGTTCTTTGCCCTTTTCCGCCATCTTGCACATGTGAGCATTCCACGAGCAGTCTTTTGCGATCTCTACTCCGAGGTGTGTGTACTGGTCCACTACTTCAATCTCCTCGAACCCCCACTTCCATCTTTGTTCTACTGGTTCCTCCCTGTCCTCGTTGCACATCATGACGGCACTCTTCTTAACGTTGGCAGACAATCTCCACTTATCAGCAAACTCCTTCGCCGCGTTTATTTGCATTTGCAGTCCCTCAGGGGTGCCAGACATCCCAACAAAGTCATCCGCAAACAGTATTATATGAGTTCGACCACCGCGCCGTTCTTGAGGGTCTTTCTGGTCGCCTTGCACAGAGGGTGGCTGGTGCACCCGGAAAACCTGCGGTCACCGCGGCGCGACGATGAGAGGGTGCGTGGATGTAGCAAAGCACAGAGCGAGGGTTGGGGCAAACAAGGGCAGATATAGAGTCTTGATGGAAGGAATACCGCAAGAGGGCGGTACACTGTCGTGATATCCCTTCCTGCAATAGACGGCGGCATTGTCAGTGCCACGGATCGGTCGCATTGGTCAGATGTCAACGCGTCATCCACGATGGGGCAAGCAAACGATACTCCTGCCGTAGTATCGCATCTCACTGGTTGTTCCCGTACTCCATGAACCTGACCGCTTCTTCACATCTCGCGCAGGGGTCTAAGCTGTCCGGCACGCCTCGGTCTTGTGCGCCTCGCATGTCGTCGTCGGGCTGCCATTAGAAATAGAAGTACAAATAGGTCATTAGGGACATCGGGAGGGAACTGCAGCGAATCAGAGGTGTCGGCAGCATGCCGTTGTTGGGTACTCCGACCGATGCAAATAATTGTCGTGAGTAGGTCGTTATGGTACTGCTCCAATTGCCTGAAAAGAGGCTGAATCCTGCTTGCAGATTGGGAATATGTGAGCACACACCCCGCGGGCACACTCCCCTCTTGCTCTTTCCCTTACTTCTACTCCCTTCCTGACAGCTTCTACGACTTTCAACCGATCGTTGATGGACATCTGGAACAACGTTGGGGACAGAGGGCAACCTTGTTGGACCCCCTGTTCAATGTTGAGCAATTTCGACAGTTCTCCGTCTAGCATGACCGCGCTTTTCGTACACTCTGTCATCTTCTTCAGCACTTTCCACATTTTCCCCCTTGATCCCGTACTTGGACAAATGTTTCCACAGCCCATTCCTCCGTAATGTGTCGTATGCCTATTACACGCCCAGGAAGGAGCAGTGCGTTGGCTTCCCCGCCCGCGTTCTATCTTGGATTATTCTCCCTAATAATTTGATGTTTTGTCGGATACTGCCTCTACGTATGTATGATGACGGCTGTCTATGTAGAAACCGTGGAACATGTCGAGGAAAACTGTTACAACGTAGTCAGGCACAGTTTACCATTGGTGCGACTGCGGCAACTAGCCTTCCGTAGACATAGTACAGAAAGAAGAGATGGTACTCAGCAGAGAACATGAGCACAGAGTTGTAGCGGAGATAATTTGGCAGGCGAGACTGTAGTTGTTTTATTGTTCCGAACCCCGAAATTCCGGNCGGGCCTACCGATCTCACAGCAGTGTAGACCAACCTCTCTCTGTGATAGAGCGGTGACAGCAGTGTAACCTCTGTGGTAGACTACAAAGTCTACGAGCTACAGGATCACCGCCACCTCCGCTGCTGCAGGACGCCACATTTTGTGAGAACAAACCCCCCCCAGGGCCAAGATTGACACGCGGGATAACCACATTAGGCGGCATTGCAGCGGTCTACTGTATAAGGTTAAGTGTGACCAAATATTGACCATTGTAAAACCATACTCTTCATTGTATAGGCTTTCTTGCCGCATTCTAGAACCCATAAAGTACTCACTATTGTATAAACCTTAGCGTCGTCATGCTACATCCTATACCATACAATAGACCCCCCGCTCTTCGCGACCCCCGCCCCCCCCGGTGTTTGCCAT